GAACATGGTTATTCTAGAGAACAATTGCAACCCCTGGAAACACATGGTGAGATGGTCAGCTGACACTTACTTTGCTTTAAAATGTTTTTTAAAAGACATTCAAATTCCCTAAGACTAACTAACCATGGGGTTTTCATAAAAAAAAAAAAATGATGCTGCTGACATGTCCAGTTGATTGGAACAATGAGGTGCACCTAAGCTCAGTCAGTCCCTCACTGATGCCTGCACAGGGATGTGCTTATCACTATCTACAACATTCTTTCACTATCAAAAATCAAGCCCAATTCACTCATACATTGCTGGTGGGACTGCAAATTGGTGCAACCACTCTGGAAAGCAGTAAAGAAATTCTTCAGAAAACTTGAAATGCAGTTATCCAACTCCTTGGTTTATATCCAAAGGACTTAAAATCAGCATACTGTAGTGACACAGCCACATCAATGTTTATAGCAGCTCAACTCACAATAGATAAACTATAAATGTGGGGGAAAGAATAGAAGTTCCTTGGATTAGACAAAGGGAAATGAATAGAAGGGAAGGGAGATGCCAATAGGAAAGACAGTAGAATGAATTGGACAGAACTTTCCTATGCTTACACACAACCAGTGCAACTCCTGTCATACATATCTAAAAAGAACAACAAAAAAAATCAAGCCCAAGAAGAAATATTTTAACTCCAATTTATTCTTTACAGTATTAGTTAAAGGCTGTTTTAAGAAAGTGAAGTGGTTTGATAGGTCACAGTGAATTTTTCATAGCTTTTAGGGCCTCTACAAGTAAAAAAAAAATGTTAGCCAATAACAAAGACAAGACATAGTGGGGACACAACTATATGTAATGTGCATGACAATATACAAAGAAAGTGCAGTGGTGAGGGGAGAACCAAATGGCAGAAAGGCAAACAGATGCTAGAGAGAGAATACACATTTGATTAAAAATCCAAGAGGCCATCTCAGCAAGGACAGACAAGAGAAGAGTATCCAGAAACTTCTCTACAATTACGTGGCCAATTGGTTTCCAACAAGAGTGACATCACACTGCAGTGGAAAAATAAAACAATATTTTTAGTTATTTAAAATAAGTTGATGGGGCTGGGGCTATAGCTCAGTGGTACAGGATTTGCCTAGCATGGGTGAGGCACTGGGTTCGATCCTTAGTACCACATAAAAAGTAAATAAATAAAATAAAGTTATAAAAAAAAATTTAAAAATAAGTTGACTATCCACAGATCCATGTTTAAAAATTTTACAATCTTAAGACTCTTTACATTATCCATAAACATTAACTACAATGGATAGTAGATTCTCTTCAATTATATAGAATATTTTCATGATCTCGAAGATAGGAACTATGTTCATGAATGGGACACATAAACACACTAAAAATAAAGAAAGAGGATTGCTGAATTGGACTCAACTAAATTTTAAAACTTTTGTTCTTCAGAAGTTATCATCAAGAGGGTAAAAATATAAGCCACTCAGTAGAAGAAACCAGTAATCTGTAGGAAACTGAAGCTGACAGAATAAAGAGAAATTTACAAACATCAAGTTGTCATTGACAATATTAAATTCAGAATCCTGGCCTCCTGGGGTGGAAGCCAGTTTCTAAATGTGCCACTAAGTTCCATTTTTAAATAAGTTCAATCTGATCTCTGTGACTAGGAGTGAAAAAACTGAAATCTTCTTATTTCCTTGTTCATAAAAATGGAATAATAATGCCACAGTGATTTAAATGATGGAAATAAAATACCACAGTGAGTAATGCACAGAAATTTTGAAAAATTCAGTAGTAGTTACAGTTATAACCATTAGTTTTATTAGTGGTTTTAGTGATGGTGACTATGATATAATTAATATAACCACTTCAAACTAATAGTGTTACAAACTGCTGGGGTGGATCATTACCAATTAAATCAAGCACCACAGATATTTCAGCCATGCTTTATAAGTTGGGTACAAGTAAAATCTGGTTGGAGAGTAAGTAGTGAAAGGAAAATAAGAGTGGTTTTGGAATGGCTATGCTATTCTCTGGATAACAAAATCAAAGGCTGAAGAGTAAAGACACAGCGATGTCAAAGAGGTCTTCAAATGTCAGGCCAGATATCACAGGCTTTCTATCGCTAGTTTCTGTCAATTTCCTTACTAGGCAAACCCTGGGTCATAGGGTGTGAAAATCAACATGTGCTCAACCAAAATCCCCACCCCAGTGAGTTTTATCAGCACCCATTGGAGCAGTTCTCTTAAGTTTCATCATTCTTTAATCAGGTGAATAATGAGTCCTTGGGACAGAAGGGAGTAGGTCATGCCATATTTGCTCAAGTTCCCAGGGATAGACACGCAGAAATATGTACATAGAGGTAAAGAAGGGGGAGTAATTTACACAGGCTAGGCAATATAAACACAATAACTGTGACTAATCGTCTAGCACAGTAGCAGTATTGCTCTAGTCAATGCCACCCAACACTGCAGGACAAACAATATTTATTCCATCAAGAACTTGATCATGAAGCCTAAATGTATATCCATTGCTCCAGTCCATGAAAGAGGGTGATAATATTACTAGCTAGCAATTGTAATTCCAGGTAAAATGGAGGATAAAGTAACTGCACAGTATTTATATACAATTTCTGGTTTTATTTTCACACCAAACAAATATATTATGATATGCATTTTAGTTGTTAAGGATGTTGATTCACTCAGTGTCAGATCACAGTTGAAATGGCAGATTTATTTTTGCATCCTGGCCTGTCTTCTCCGTGTATTTCATTCATCCCCTTCTACTTGCTGTCACCAAAGGTCCATTACCTATCATGACTTTAGGTCTAATTTCTAACCAGAATTAGAAATTTCTAATTGCTAACCAGAACAAAGAAATGGCCATTAAAGCTTGGTAGAATGAGCAAGGACAGAGCTGGGGGTGGGGGGCAAGCAAGAGAAGAAGAAAGGAATCAAGTCATTCAGAGCCTACACTCTTCCTGGGGAGTTTGGACAATCAGAAACTAGAAAATAACATGACTATATCTGCATTTTACAAAGTTAATTTGCTATTTCCATGGGTAGAGTTTTGAGTAAAGAACAGTAGATGTTGGGAAAACATTTGAAGGAAATTGTGAAAAGCCGAAGAGGAAATACTGGCCTTATTTTAGATATGGCAGTGGAAGGTGATGAGCAGCATCCAGGACTGAGGTCATCCTGGGCATAGATCCAAGAAGGATCAATTAGGTGTAGAAGATGGTGCATGGTAAGGGGAAAGGGAAGCATCAAGGAGAACACTTAGGTTTGGACTTGAACAATCAGCTAGAAAGAAAAGAAGCAGTGGGAGAAGGAAGAGAAGAATATTGGTGGGAATGATCAAAAGAGTAGACTGGGATGCATCAGATCTGAGGTGCCTGGAGGAAGTCCAGATGAGGATGTCAAGAAAGCACTCAATGTCTTCTGAGTATTTCTCAACAGTAAAATTCAAAGTGCTTACTATACACTGCATGGCCCTGCATGATCTAGGCCCTCATTGTTTTCCTTATCTCATCTCCTATTTTGCTATCATTTTGCTCCAGCTAAACTGTCATCCTAGGTGTTTCTCAAATATCTCTGCCTCAGAGCCTTTGCACTTGGCCATTCTGTCTAGAATGCAGATTTTTGGATATTCACTTCCTTCTGTTTGGAATGTCACTTAAATAGCAAAACCTCTCCAACACAAACATATCCGAAATCCTCCTTTACCTTCTGTATCTTTTTCTCCTTAGTATTTATCATAATATATTTTATCATCATTTATGATACTTGTTGTCTGTGTCCCTCAACTAAAATAAACAGAAGCTCCAAAAGGACAGAGATCTTGTCATTTTTATTGACTAGGATATCCCTAGGGATTGGTACAGTGCTTACTAGATGTCAAGATCTGGAAAGGGTCTGAGATTTTACCCTATTTGGAAGCTAACAAGTTAGGCTGCCACAGTTTAATGGATGCTAGCAGAAGACAGACTCCTGGGTCAAGAAGACACCTACTTATTCTGTAGCAATGGCCAGAGGGACATCATTTGCTCTGGTTTCCTCAACCCCAATTTTCACAGGATGACATGAAGAGGTACAAACAACACTCACACAGAAAGTGACTATGTACCAAGAAAAAAAGAGCCAAGCTTTGCAAAAATTCTAAATCTTTTTAAAAGGACACCTGAATTTTGTCTTGCAAAAAGATATTTCTGTTGCTCTAGACAATAAACAAACTGACTCCTTGCATCCGAGGGTGATATTATTTTGTTTTTCAAGAACCTTTGTTATACAAACACCCTGGAAAAGACAGTCTGAAACAAAGGTGATGGATCTTCTAAACACAAGTCTTGCAGCAATATGAGAGAACAGAGAATCATCTCCTAATAACACATGATAGGCATGCAGTACATATTATTTTTTAATGAAAAATCAAAATTTTGAGTTAGATACTAATATTATTTCAATTTGCAGGTGAATCAATCAAGGCACAGCAAAAGTGAATCAACTATCCAGGAATGCACAGCTGCTAAGTGGTTCTTAGCAGCACCCTCCACCTCCACAGCATACACTTGATAGAACTCAATCCTCCCTAGCTCTGACCTGTCCCTCCATCAACCCCACCTGAGTCTTAGTGAATAGGTGATTGAAAAAGAGAGAAGACAGAAAAGAATAATAAGAGTGGAGAAAGGGAACAAAGAATGGAGAGGCTGTTTTAGCTCTCCTTACTTGCTCTTGTATCCAGATCTACAGAGTAGACAGGAACTTTGAGTTCACCTTACACCTAGAAAACTGGAGTTCCAGAAGGGAAGAGCCTTCCCGTAACCGCAGAGAGTAAGGGTTCGAGTTAACTAGCTAACCGTCAGAACTGCTTTTTCCTGATAGAATTTGAGGTGCCTCTTCCTGTCACCTCTCATGTACACAGCTCTCTCTGAGCCTGGAGGCCAGGCCATGACAGTCAATCAATAACCAGGGGCACCTGCTACACAACACAGCAGGTGGAGCCTGTGCTGCCCATAGCCTATATGACCCTCCAGTTCCAGGGTTGTTGAAAGCAGTGGCAAGCTCTGTGCCTTTTTCATCTGACCTCTTGACTCAGAACCTCAGCTATGAAGTTGACAAGCATCTTTCTTCTCTGTGCCTTGACCTTGTTAAGTTTATCTGGTAAGTGATTTGCATATTTCTCAAATTTAAAACTGCTTGCTCTATTGCATTGCTAAACAAACATCTTTCTGGAAATTTAACGTAGTCTAGACTTAATTAAAACTAGTTAGTCTTGGCTAGCCTTTTGGTCCCAATGAGATAAAATAAGATCAATAGTTAAGAATTATAGAAAGAAAAATTTTTAACATAAAATGAGAGAAACAATTCCAGTGGGAGGTGCCCAGAGATAGAAAGGTTTTCCTCTAGGCTGGAGCTGACATTCTATAAGGGATATGATAGAGAGAAAGTGGGGATACCTCAACCTTAAATACACTCTCACTCTGTAAATGCTTAAGGCCAATTTACAAATTTATAATTTTCATGGAATTGCATTAAATAGATAATAATGGTTGCCAGTTATTCAGTATAAAACGTATGGTTTGACTGATTAAAATTTTTATTTTTGATCTACAGAATGTTTCAAAGGAAAATATTCTGCTTGAGTAGATGGTATACATAGGTCCCCAAACTGCCTCTTGACAAGGTTAGCAGACAATTCTGAACCCACAGCCTTCAGATTACTTTTTATCATTGAAAATGTCTAACATTTTCAACTTCATCTCCAGTCCAGGAGAAAATATTACTGAGAGCCAAACCCGTACTTCGCTAAAGAGTAGAATATCATTTGTTATATTTGCTAAATATTTATGGGAGCAGAGGTCCCTTTTCCCTCCTCATACATATTAATTAATGCAAATAGATGCCTGTGGTGAGCACCTGCTCATCAATTTTTAGACTCATCTAGATTCTAAAACCCACGGGGACCCCAACAACAGCATCAGGTTCTGACTATTCCAGCAGCTCTTCTTCTCCATGCCCTCAGAGATTGTTGATATCAAAATTATATCTCATAAACATTTCCTACTTTGGGTGCTATCAGATTAATTTCCCTTCCTTTCAGGTAATTCTTCTACATTTACCATCCCCTACATGATGTTAGCAAGACCTGCAATTTTCTGAAGAATGCAGTGTCTATTTTGCTATTTGTAAATTCAAGAAATATGATTTGATCCGTAGTCAGTCTGTGTCATACAAGTGTGAGGAAAGGTTCTTGGGAACTGATGGTGAATTGGCAAAAAGGGTCTGGTTTTAACTTATGAAAAGGGGACTTAATGCAATTATATCTGAAGATCTAGTCAATGTTAGTGAGAACTATTTCATAGCTAGTTATGTAAATACCCATACCTTGACCCATAAACTCAGATAAAGATACTTACACTCCACTCATTGTGAGATCAAAGATCTAATGACTGGTTGTGAGAATGTCAGTGAGCCTTCAATGTCATTTACTCAGCACCAATTTCAAGCAGTAAGTACATAATTTCTATTTTCAAGGAAATGAATCAATGTTTCTGAAATACCAAATTGAGATACTTTTAGTCATAATAAGATTTTTACTTAACTTCTTAGGATTTTAGCAGACAGGGAGTAAATGGAAACCAATCATATGTCCTTGAAAGAGGATGGAAATAAGAGGTGGTCAGTGGAAAAGGCCAGCAAAGAAGTCAAGCCTTCTGTGAAAGCAGAGGGTTCTGGATAAGAATAGGTCTGCATCTCTCATTTACGATCCAGCTTAACATGTCTTTTTTTTTTCATTTGTTTGTTTTCTAGGTAACACTGAAGCTGATTCCCAAGGAAGAAAGGTAAAGAGAATTTTAGAATTTTATAAGAGGCTAAAACTTTTGATCCAACAGAAGTGCAGTCTGTCAACTTTCCGTTTAACCTGAGGTTAGGATGAAGAGTAGGAATGCTAGGAACACTCAACCTGGTAAATACAGGCGGTAAGGTAGTTCCCCAGCCCACAGGCCTGTGTTGGAGGACACATTCACTGACGCCTGGGCAACTTCTATGCAGATGTCTGATGCTTGTTGTGAAGGAATTCACATATGCACTAGGACTAGCTGGAAAGACAAGCATTTGAGGTGGAAGCTTTCTCTAGTCCACTGAGTAGCCCTTCCTCTTAGGGCCAGCTTGACCATGTTGACATAAGTTTCCCCCAGTCACGGAGGTGCACCTTGAGTTTACAATGAACAGCAGAAAATAATGAACCAGGTTCTTCCTCTAGAAAAATAATTTTACACCTAACTTTTCCATATTTTCTTTTTTCCAAAAGGTAATTTCATTAAATTTGGTGACTAGGAGAAGAAGTTTCCATCTCTCCTCACACTTATATCTAGGCAGCTGATGAACTAAATGTTTATAAATGAATAAATTATTGCATTTGTGATAAATGTTATGAAGAAGCTCTGGTACCATTAGGAGCATCACATAGTTAAAAGAAGATGCCCCTAAATAAGTGACAGTGATTTTGAGCAATGAAGGATAAATAGGGCTGGCAAAACACAGGTGGGAACACTGTAACAGCCATTTGGTGATTATTAGCTCTTACTGGAGCAGAGCACACAGAGGACAAAGACTCCAAGAACGGAAGACACCTAGTGCTTTTGCATGCTTAAGGAAAGCATGTGTAAGAAAGAACATGCCCCAGGTAGCAACTAGCCTGGGAGAAGCAAGCACCTGCCATAATTGTAACCTGGGACATCATCTTCCTCACCTGAGGGAATCCTCATGACAGCACTATGACATTGATGGGAAATGGTAACATCATTCCCATTTTATAGATGAAGTGACTGAGATTCAGGAACCAAAAACACACCAACATCATACAACTTGCACATAGCAGAGGCTTTACTTAGAACCAGATTTTCTGACTCCAGGTTTTAGATTCCTCTCCTTGGAACATTCAGTGTAATTCTCCAGATTGTAACCATGCACAAAAAAACATTAAAACCATTTAGTAATTTTGCCATCAACTCAAAGAATAGAGGATGATGGGAAATGATTGTGTTTAACTTCATTGTCAGGCTAATTGCAACAATGCAATTACTGGATGCACCAAGATTTATGACCCTGTCTGTGGAAATGATGGAAACACTTACGCCAATGAATGCATGCTGTGCCTTGAAAATCAGTAAGTACAGACTTTTCTTTTTAATATATATTTTAAGTTTACTGTCTTCAAACTTTTATATATCTTATTTTCCTAAAAACCCAATCAATATACCAATAGCATGAATCTTACTATGAAAAAATGTCAACTTTTTCCAAAACTAATTTTTCCCTTTTTTTATCTCTCTGATACGATAATATGATTTTAAAATCACTTAGAGGATAAAACTCATGTTTTAGAATAAAACAACAGATAGTCTAGATTCATAAAAAGCCTATACACAAAAAAGTTACTTTAACTTTAAAAAGTCATTCTTACTGACAGGAGTGATTGTATTTTCTAAAGCCCCCAAATATACAAATATAAATTATATAGATTTGGGTGCCAAAAAGTGAATTTTTGTATCATTTTAAATCATGGATATGATAGCTAACCTCAAAGAAGTTTCATTTTCTGAAGTGCCCGTAAGTGGGTGAAAGGAATTGGATTCAGGGGTGAGATGTCAGTGTGCCACCGATTTCATATTTCATTCAGCAATAGAACATTTAACACTAGCCTCTGCCACCTTTCTTAATCTTATGACTAGGAGAATATAGGTCATGAGCACATGTAAGCCAGCACCTTATAATTTGTAGCAAATGCCAGCAGAAAAGACATAAGTATTACAGAAGTACAGCAGAGACTTGTTTTTAAAACTAGTGCTAGGATCAAACTCAGAGGTTTGAACATGCAAGAAAGTGCTTCATCTGCCTCTGAGCTACACCCATCCCTAGAGATTTATTCTTGATGAAAGGAATCAAGAAAGTATTCATGAAAAGAATGCCATTTAAACAGGATTCTAAGTTTTTGGCAGCATCAACAAGGATCATTCTAGGCTAAATAAATATGTGAATAATCCAAATAAAAGAGGTTCCATAAGTGATTCAGTAAACAGTTATTTTGGGGTTGACTTGTTATTAAAGACTTTGACTTAGGCTCAATGACTATATACATTTCCACTATTGCATGAATTCTCTTCCTATTAAACAATCCCTTTTTTGAGCAGTTTTAAACTGTCTCAGAAACTTCTCAGAGTTTACCAAGAAGTGTGAAAACAAAGATTCAACACAAAACAATATGTATTCTGCTGTATTGTGGGGAATTTGCTTCCACACGAAAGACTTACAAAAAGAATCTGCAACCACTTGTTACTTTTCCCATGACCCATGCTGTTGACATAAGATCAACTATCGTATTTCCACCTAAGGGGAAAAAAGCAGAACAGCCCTGAGACTTGGGAAATTTCCAGATGCCAACTTCAAAAAGCCCAATATTGAGGGTGACACATTGGGAAAATATGAGCAGAGGGCTGGGACATTAGTTTGCCCTTTAAGACCTATTAATTCCTGCTGGCTCTTTTTATTCTTTCAAATATATGTAAATGTGGGAGAAAGGTTTGGAGGGCAGAAAAATGTAACATTTCTTGCTCTTTCTATTTTTCTTAGATAAGAAAACTTAGGGGCTGGGGTTGTGGCTCAGCAGTAGAGTGCTCGCCTAGCATGGTATGAGGCACTGGGTTCAATCCTCAGCACCACATAAAAATAAAATAAAGGTATTGTGTCCACCTATAACTAAAAAATAAATATTAAAAAAAGAAAACTTTGGTTTATAGGTAAAATTGGCTCTCTTAAATTACAACTTATTTCCTAATGTATGATATTGCCTTTATTTCTATCATGTATTAAAGGCCTTCCCCAGGTAGAGATGTTTCTTGGTGGCAGAATGCTTGCCTAGAGACTGCAAGGCTCTGGGTTCAATCCCCAGTCCTGAAATACATACATACATACATACATACATACCCCAAACAAATCGGTTGCACAGTAACTAGAGCCAAACTCTCATCCTAGATGCCAGGTTTTGAGGTAAGCAGATAATATCAAACAAGGGCTGGCATGTGGTGATCTCCTTTGTCAATATGCACCTGGAGGGTATGTTCAATTAGGACTTTTTCTCTTTGTTCTACATCTTTTTTGCTATAAGATCATAACCATCCAACAGAACTTTCTGTAGTGGTAGGAATGCTCTCTATCTGTACATAGCTACTAGCCGCTAGCACTTAAATGTGGCTAATACAATTGAGAAACTAAAATTTAAAAATATATATACTGATACATACCAGTTATACAGAATAGTGGGTTTTTACTGTGGTGTGTTCATATATGCATGTGACATAATTTGATCAGTTTCTTTCCCTAGTACCTCTCCTTGCCCATTCCTCCCTCTCTGATGCCTTTCCTCTATCCTAACAGTCTCCCTTCTGTTGAGAAACTGAAATAATATACTATTTATATATAATAATATGATTTGTATATTATTTATATTATTTAAATTCAAATAGCCAAAAGTGGACACCAAACATGCTGACCCATATTAAACAGTAGGGCTATAGAAAACCAATCACCTCATGGGCTCTGTTTAGATCATTGTACTTACTGTATGCAGCTGATTTAGAAATCATTATTATTACCAGTCAATTGATTATGGAACAAGAAAGAATTAACTCTCTCAAAATAAACAACCAAAAAAGTCCAGTTAAATGGACATATACAAATAGAAGTATCAGATATTTTCCAGTAATGGAGAAATAGAGGAAATTTTGTAGGCCAGTATATTCAAGAAAAGGATGGCTAGAAACATGAGAGATCAGGATCAGTCTCAGGAACAATTACAGGATTTAGGACTATTTAGCTTAAAGAAAGCTGCAGTATAAAGAGAACAGAATTTTTTTATCTGGAAAGCAGGATACTTACCACTAGCTGACATTATATGGGCTACAGAAATGATTTCCCTCAACAAGACCTCACAGATTTGGATCCCCAGTTTTCTTTTTTATTTATATTTATGTTTTATTTGTAGGTGGACGCAATATCTTTATTTTATTTTTATGTGGTGCTGAGGATTGAACCCAGTGCCTCGCGCGTGCTAGGGAGCACTCTACCACTTGAGCCACAACCCCAGTCCCATGGATCCCCATTTTTCTAAAACCAAAGATCAACTAGTTCTGCAGCAGCCTGGGCACCAGCTACGATGGAAACCTCGTAGCTATGGCAGTAGCATCAGGAGCAAAAGAAGCAGCAATAGATAGGAGATTAATTTCAGGGGTCCACTGTAACACTAGACGTATAAACTCAGTAAGGACAATTTTCCTTTCTGTTTTATGGCTAGTGAAAGTAATAGTTAGCAACAAATACGTGATGAAAAAAGTGAGTGAATAAATGAATGAGAAAAAGACAAAGGAACACATCTTAAAACTTATATTTGTTTAATAAAGCTGGTGTTTTTCCCATTATTTTTCTCCCATAGTCACTTTTTGTCAATAAACTTTTAAGTTGATTTTCTTTTTCAATCTCTCCTACAGGAAGCGCCAGATTCCTATCCTCATTAAAAAATCTGGGCCTTGCTGAGAGCCAAGGCGTGAAATCCTTTAAGATCACCAAGATGTCCAGCTGACATGCCTGCTGAATAAATGTATTTGAACACACTCGTTCTTCCCAAATGCTTTTTCCTTAAACACATGTGTGATTACACAGGGGACAAGGAACTTGGGAAAGACTCAGAACAGACCCAGTATTAGCAACTTCACAATCCTGTGAGCTCAGACGGTGTTTCCCTTCTAATGCATTTTCCTTCCTATCTTCTTACATCCTGATGCCTCTGTCTTGGGAAGTGTGATGCTGATACTGAATGACAGGACCCAAGGGACTGTGGACTCCTGTAATCCCAAATATAATTGCCTGCTACCATAGGGGATAGTTGGAAAACTCTCAGTCCAGAAACATGTTACCTGTCACATTTCACTGATTGAAATAATTCCTTTATGACAAGCATGTTGGCACACACCCGTAATCTGTAATCCCAGGTACTCAAGAGGCTAAGGCAGGATCATCTCAAATTTGAGGCAAGACTCAGCGATTTAGGGCTGAGGATGTAGCCTAGTGGTAATACTACTACCACCATCATCATCATTCCTTTAGATTTCCTTGGGATTTAATTGGGCATTTATTTTGTATGGCACAGGTCTGTATATGTGGACACAGAGCTACCCTCTCTGGTAGAATAGAGTTGAGTCCTTGAGAGGTTTGGTTTGTCAACCTATTGAACAAATTCATCCTATCTGAGAACTTGGAAGAAAGACATTTCTTAGGGCTCATAAGGATACCAAGCTGGGAACACAATCTCAAGCAGTAATGGGTCTTTGCTTCAACACTTTGCAAAATGGAATCTGAATATAAAGGGGAGAGAGGTGACATGCATCTTGTAAGGATTTTGGATTGATACTGGTAAAGGACATGTTGTCTTGTTAGTGCAGGACTGGACAACTACGATCATTCTCTGGACAGATTCTCATAAAAGCAAAGAAACGTTGCAGTCCAAAAGATTTGCTGAAAACAGCACACAGTATTCCAGGGAGTGATGGTTTCTTTGTTTGTTTGTTTGTTTTTTCCCAAGACATGAGCTAACATTCTGGTACCTATTGTAAGCAACAGAGTCAAAAGTTTGGATCTAGACATATCTGAGATCTGACTTAACTGCCATTTCCCAACTCCATCTTTTGTATCCAAAGACTTGCTTTGGATATCTGCTTTGCAGCTCGTGGGTTTGCACTAAGGATGTGTGTGGGGGGGGGTCCTGATTCTGAATTAATTTGAGGAGTGGACACTTGTATCATCAAACCATCCCCAAGATATGAGATGATCTGGCAAGGTAAAAAGGGGGTGATATTCCAGAGGAACTGATGGTGAGGACTTGGCGAAGTGCACCATGGTTTATAAGTGAGCCACAATAGCACCATTACATTACTTTCACCTTCTGAGTAAACTTAGCAAAGTGAATACACTTGACTAATATCACCAGCAAACAAAGCGTCAGAGTTAGGCTTTTAATTCAGGGCTGATTTCAAGTCCAAATCTTCCCTGAAATCACAATCTCCTCACATGGATTACTCACTATTCCTTGTATAGAAAACATCCTTCTATTAAAACAGTCTATGTGTTTATATTCAGCAATAACTAATAAGAGAGAAATAGGAAGTGTCCCAAAAGAAAAAAATCTACAACTACTAAAAATAAAAGGAGAAAGAAGGAAAAGCAGCTTGAGATCCTGTGTTTCTTTTAAAAAACAAAAAAAAAGCCTAAAGTGGAGAAGTGGATAGAGGACTGATGGAGGCTGAGTTGCATCAGGTTTATACATCTTGTGGAACATATCACCCATTCAACTAGAAATAACAGGTGAAAAACAATTCTGCACTTGCAAAACATAGTTACCTGGCCCTATCAGGTTTAAGTTAATTTCTTGTGATATTTAAAATACACGTCTTGGGCTGGGGATGTGGCTCAAGCGGTAGTGCGCTCGCCTGGCATGCGTGCAGCCCGGGTTCCATCCTCAGCACCACATACAAACAAAGATGTTGTGTCCGCCAAAAACTAAAAAAATAAATATTAAAAAATTCTCTCTCTCTCTCTTTCTCTGTCTCTCTCTCTCTCTCTTTAAATAAAATAAAATAAAATAAACGTCTTGAGGTTTAACTGTGACCACTAGAGGGTGCTGGCCTGCCATGTGAGTCAGCGTAAGCAGAGCCTAAGGGCTCTCACCCAATATTGTGCTAACTGCAGTTGTGGATGCAAAATGGCTTCCAGCGCCTCCACTGTCATGCTAGAGGACATTTGAAGGGCACCCCTAACATTCAGGAACTTTGCCATAGTGAATCGTTGAATACTACAAATCTTCATATCTAATGGGACCATTCTGCAAATTCAGAAAGAAGAGTTTGGAAATTATAAGCAGAAGCAAGACAAAAATCCAGATTATCTACCTCCAATGGCTCTGAGCTCACCTCTTCTCTCTTCTCTCCTCTTCTCTCTCTCACTCTCTCTGATCCATCAGAAAACATAACCTCATGCCCGGTGGTTATGCTTTAAAGAGATAATTTACAAATTAGAATGTGTATAAAAATGCAAGCTATCAAAATTGATAAGATTTTGAAATTGTTTTATGATGAGTGATTCAAAGAAGTAGGAAAATTTTAGCTACAGAAGAAAAATTCTCAGATCTTGGTGGGTTTTTCAAACAATTTAAGGGACAATAGTGTCAACACAGTGAAAGCAGAAACATTGTCCTATTCTGAGTGCTGGATTATAGGCTCTACCACCGAGGAGATACCAAATTAATATTTTTGTTACATAAGTGAACAAGAAAGAGAAATGAACACCTTTTGGTTGTCCCCAAAGGGTAAGAATTTAGACTTTATGAGGTAGAGAATAAAGATGGACTGACTTTGGTCAGTAAGAAATATACACTACAATGATTAAAGGGCTCTGTTTTAGCATGCTTGGGCTTGCTGTGGCTCTGCCACTATGTAGCCAAGGGTCCTGGCAGAAGTCAGAGACTTCTCAAATTTCACTCCTCATCTCCACTATGGGTTAGTTATAACAATTCCTTCCAAGGGCAATGAGCCCAGGGCTTGGCAAATATTAAGTGTGTAAGAAGTATTAGCTTTTGTTATTATTACTCTTATTCATATTATAACCCTTATAGCTCATTAAACAAACATTTGACTACCTTTTGGTAACTTTACTTCTTCAAGTAACAATTCATTACATTATTGAATTGTCAGGGATTTTGTGGAAGATATTCTCAACTGGGTAGAAGTGGACTAAAACTCTCTACTTATATATTTGAAAACATTTAGGATTATAAACCATAACTACAAAGTTCAAACTCAAGTATAAGGACTAATCACAAATTTTATGCATTGAGAAGGGTATCATGGCCATGGGAGGGAATAGAGTAGTAAACCCAGTGCCCATTATTAGGTCTCCTTCCCTAAGTGGAGGTAAGAACTAATCCTCATCAAGTGCAGGACCACAGCACTACACCATGTAGTTAAAGGACCAATTCATTCCTGAAGTTTTCTTGATTTGGTCTCAGAGTATTGAAATATGAACTATCTGATGGGAAAGGATATTTTTTAAATGTTGCAAGGGAGAAGGAAACTTGTTTGAAATGAAACATGTAAAATAATGAGTTATACTGAGCCATTTGAGAAAAAAGAATGTGAAAAATATTGAGCATTTATTTCCATTTCTCTGATCCAATTTATTTCCTAAAAACCTTAGCTTAATCCAACTATGTAGAAATAAACTTTATTTGTATAAGAGAGAATTAAGTAAAAAACACACACAGCTCCTACTTTTTCAATATTTAGCACTGCCAACAGTTTCCCTTGTTTTCTTTCATTGTTTAAACAGTAATTAACTTCTAACTAAAAACATGAAATATGTAAATAATAAAACAGTATGCACAAAATGAAATAATGTAGATCTTTCCTTATAGCCAAGTCAGAAGTCACTAAAAAGCCAACAAACAATAAAAATAAAAACAGCTGATTGGAGATCAGGTCAAAACCCAATTCCTTGGAAGGCAGGGTGTATGGGAGCAGAAAGATGGTGGAATATGATGGATATCATGATCCTAGGTACATGTTTGACTGCACATATGGTACAACACTACATTGTGTACAATCAGAGAAATGAAAAGTTGTGCTGCAATTGTGTACAATGAATCAAAATGCATTCTTCTGTCATATATACCCCCCATTAAAATAAATAAATAAATAAATTTAAAAGAAAAAGAATATAATCAAAAGAGACCCAGGAAGTTACAAAGCCAGAGCCAGATATCTGGCAGAATTAGTTTTGTTCTTATACAGCAGTCACTAACTCATAATGGTTCAATTTAGATTTCTTGACATGACATGGTGCAAAAACAATAAACATTCATTTAAAAAACGCCAATTACTTGAATGGAATACTTTTGCAGTCAAGTATTTTTTAAATGTGTTAAAAATAAAAATGGAGATCACAGTTTAGATACCTCAGAGTTAACTGCCTATTGTCATTTAACACAATTTAGAAAACCCAACCCTGAACAAAACACTAAAGTTAGTTTTTTGTCCTTATCAACATGATTCTTTGAAATGAACCAGCTACCTGTAGACAAATCAGCTTCAAGCGCTCTGCACCTTAAAGAAGATTATATGACAGTGAGTCACAAAAGAGGTCAAACGTCTTCCTCCTCTACTTTGCAAGTTGTGCTGCAGGTGCTGTAAAATTGAGATTTCCTGCTATTTTCCAGCTTAGGATTTCCTAGTTCATGAACTACTATTTTGTATTCTCAACAAAATCTTAAAATTCTAACAATCTGATTTTATTTTTGACAGATGGTAATAGGTAACTCATTGTTCTCAATTGATTAGAGTCATGAATAAGGAGTGTAAAATAGATAATGTTTCTTGATTTTATATTATTCCTTGTTAAAGGAAGAAAAAGGAGAAAATGCGGGGTCGGGGGTGGGGAATGAAGTGTTTCCAGGGGAAAAGTTTTGTCAAAAGTAGAAGCAGAAAGCAGGTGGCACACATGACTAGAGAGGCTGAGGCAGGAGGATCCAAGTTCAAAGCCAGCCTCAAGGTATGGAAATATAGCT